TTATACCAAAACCTAACAGATGCTAGAAACTATGCGTCCTTGGACTGTATATTAGAGAAATTTACTTGATGTAGTTCACTTTAACACAGTATCATTGATTGGATGACATTGATTGCTCATAATTATATCGTGTAGTAGACATGGCTACTGGAATGGAATTGTTATAGAATCTTTTTGTTATATTATTGATTAAATAGAGGTAAAGTAGAAACCTCTGTTTTATGTTGGAGCATGGATTTCTATCAGTTAGAGAACCAATGGAAAGCAGGGAGCACTGAACAACTGTTTTTCATCATCGTTTGGGACTCATTATCAGTGCAAAACCGACTGGATTTTTGCCCAAGGAACTTCCAGTTAAAGGTCAAACTCGTAGATCATTCAGCCACTGTGACCTGATTCAGTGGCCAACCCATGAACTCTAACTTCTACCAGCTTGTGGTATATATTTAGCGCAACCGTCAGTCAGCATCACGGGCGAGTAGTTGTACTTTTCCCTGAATTAAATAGAATCTCTACAAACCTATTCTTGAAAATTAGTCTGATGCTCACTGGTGACTTGCTACAGGGCAAAGTTGACTGAAGTTCTATTGAGAAGTCGTGACCAGTGTGATTCATCCAGTCGGGAGTAAGGGTGGAGTTCCCATGGATGACATCGGTTGGTGGTCGTGCTAAAATCATGAATTGGTAGAAGTTAGAATTCATGGTCTGGCCATTGAATCGGGTCCCAGTGGTTGAATAGTATGCGATCCAGGTTGCCTTGTAACCGGAAGGTCGTGGTTTAAAAACCAATTCTTGAGAAACCTCTGTGTTGATTTTCCATCTGCTAGACTGTTTTTATTTATTTTCAAAAATATTTAACTGCCTTATTTCTTCCATTAAAAAAGAAGAAAATCATCTCTTCACCAGACAAACTACCAAAGCCACTGGAAAGACCAATCACTCAGTTATTCTGATATGTTTCGAACATCATGACAAATTTGTTCACCATTTTTTTTTCAGCCAAAAACTGTTTTAAAATATAATCAAAAGAAAATCACACATGGTGTTGCAGGCTGGTTATTTCCTAATATTTAAATGTAGCACATATCATATCGTCACGGTGTCTGTGTGTGTGTGTATGTGACTAGTTCATTCAACCGTCTAAGTTCCTGTAATGATGAATGCATTTAATGCCTCAATGATATTTATCACTAATATTCAAGTGATAGTAAATCGATTAGTAGAAAGGAAAAAAATATGATATGACGTTTAAAGTGATACCTTCATACAAATGACAGTTCACAATATATATATGACAGGTGTATTATCGAATTATTCCTCTACCCTGGATCTCGTTACCAGTTTATTTTATATCAAAGAAATAAATGTTGCTTTCCTATCTATTTTTCTGTCTGGCTATCACCTATTCTGATTTTCTTTTTGCTTTTTGCATTATTTAAATTGTCTATCCTAATTACACTGAAAATGACAAACAAATAATAATGCAGTATTGATTTCTTATGTTGTCATTTCTTCCTTAGACCCCACCCCCGCGAGGCTACTTTTTTATTTTTGTAAAGCATGAATAGGAAGAGATTTTGTGCACTAAATAAAATAAAATGGATAATACGTTTTCGATTTATACATATTACATATTTTTTGCGTTACTGAATACATAAAGCATCAACAGTTACAAAAAAGAAGGGAAAGAACATTCACCATCCATCTATTCAGTCCATCGCTGCTCTGTTTTTTGGGCAAGAGTCTCCATTTTTATTCTTTTCTTTTTTTATTATTTAATTGATTTCGAGACTTGTTTTCTTGACCTTCAGATATTTGGCATTTGTTTCAATCGTTTTCTTTTTCGTCATTATTAATTCTCTCCATTATCTGCCTCCTTTTTCTTTTTTTCGTTATCTTTTCATCTGTTCTGTTCTGATCAATTTCGTCTAGTCTGCATATATATATATTAAATTAATGGAATGGAATTTTTACCTTATGCATTTGTGTGTTTATGTGCGCGCGTGTGTGTGTGTGTGTGTGGCAGAAACAGCGTGGAATCTGTTGCAAAATAAAAGCGATACAATGAGTCAGCATATTCGAAAAGGGTATATTGATTCTGTGAATACATCACTTTGTATAAAGTTCCGTTTGGACTATTTCAATATGCATACACTAGATCATAGAAAGAATTAAAAATACGATTGCAGTGAATTTGCGCGAATGTACAGCCTAGTTGATGATATCGTCGAAAAGAGAATTTTCATCGCTGCAACCATCGTTTTAATTCCCTCCCCCATTTCGATATAAACATCGGTACCAAAATTTTGTGCAAGTAGTCAATCATCTTTACACTTTGTTTAAGTGAATTTTTCTTTTCCTCCTTGATTAATTAAACCGAAACGTTCAAGTTCTGTTGACATATGGACTTCTAGTACGGATGCTTCGAAGATTTCTGATGCTGGTTACTTCCTAGCAGTGGAATTCAAGATGCACAAAAGTGACCCTCCTGCTCCAGGTGATCAAGTGGATAACGCTTTGGTGTTCAAAACGCGAAGGGCACTGCGTTCGAGTCTCAGTAGAAACACCATCACCATTCTATGGGGATCGCAGGTACATCTAGCTGACGAGTACGAAACGGCAGTCATTTTTTCATTGTTTCGCTGGCGGTAACTAGCAATAAAAGTCTTGAGGTGTGTTTTATAATCCTGGCGACACGCATGAGCGGGAATACCATGTCTCAGTTGAGATGCAGGTACACCCATTTAACGAATACAAAGTAGGTCAACATGCATACCCTAGATCCCAGAACACACTACTACCAACCATAAAGCGTCTTCGTTGAAGTTTTCGTACTAGCAGTAGTCGAGATACTGGAAAACAATGATTTCAGCAAATGACTAATAAAATTGAATATTTCAAGGGACTTTTGTGTGGGATTGTTTTACATTTTATTCATCTAATTAAAATATAAAGGACAGGGACATAGTTAGGCCATGTAAAGTAAAAGATAATTGACACAACATTGCAGAGAATGAAGGTTTCATCCGTTTTACTACTGGTTTAGAGAATAAGCGACTTACCACAGCACTGCTTTTACTATTAACTTCAACTTTTTAGTTTATTTAATAGTTTATATAATCTTTGTTTTCAGTATTACATCACGAAAGAGGTTGTTAGGCATCAAGCAGATTTTTCAGGGAAGATATTTTGTGAGTTAATCAGCTTTATTCTGTCATTAATACAATACTTCCAAATGACGAAAGGTGCTTAATTCTAGTAAGTTAGACTGTAGAGAACAGAAACATTTCAAAAGACAGTGTGATGACCGTTTTACAGATAACACAAAGGTCATCAGATGTTGGTAGTTTATTCTCACAATCCTGTACACTTTTACGCATATGCCTGACGACTGAAGTTAGATTTCTTTTCTAAATGTACGTATACGTCTACTTAAACTGAGAAAAACATTTCACAGTTATCTTGACCACATCCATTCATATTCAGCCCACACTGCAATCCATTTTATGCATTCAGTTGTACTATTAAGTGCATTGTTGAAGTCCGATAGCAGTGGACATGTATATTCTACTAAGTGATTTAAACAAATACTACCTTTATGCATAGCAGAAATTGTCCAACTGAAGTATTCGTCCAGATTTCATTCATAGGAAAAATCGTTTGAATAACATCGTATTCAACGCTTTCATTGAAACCCAATGAGTATTCTGAACACTAGTGTAAAGAATGTCTTGGAATCACTTGATATCTGTCGTTTTGCTAACTGTTATAAGATATTCGACTGTTGGTTTGCGGGGATTCAACTGGATTTCAGGATTTCATCATAAGCTAACACTGGTTCGAGAAGCACTGGAAAACCTGGAAGTACTGGACAATTGTTTTATCCTAGTTTGGGAATCATTGGCAGTACACATCAATTGGGTACTAGAACCAATGACCTTCCAACTATAAGACAAGCTCGTATACTATGATTCTCCCACTCGAGTACTCCCTAATTTTCAATGGTTCTCTAGCTAATATCAATCCGTGATCAAACTCCAAAAAGGAATCTTATCTTTACAAACTAACTCTGTAATATATGTATATATATATATATATATATATATATATATATATCTGAAAACTCTAGGATAATATGAAATATTTTACAATACATAATATCATGTTTGAAAACTCCTTTCAGAAATAAAATATCGTTATTTCGTGTATATTATTTACTCTTGTATTCAGTAAAGCCATTCTTTGATCACAATCTGTAATGACTGTGAGATCCATCGGAAATTTAAGACTCTGACTGCATATTTAGTTGACCATGGAACTCTAGTGGGTACAAATGCTCATTTTGTTTGAATAATCAACAAATTTCTGAACTTTTACTCACTTAGCTTTGCTCTTCCCATTCCTTGTGAAATACTCACCTTCTGTGCCTAAAAATAAAAAGTGTGTTGATTTGATTTTTAAGTTTAATGTGTAAACAAAGCATATATATCATCTTGAGTCGGAGTGTTGTATTGATCCGGTCGACTAGCAAATGACTTCGTTTTGATGATCATATTATTATTTCGCTCAACCATTGCGTAATTAATTCATCTCGCACTACTCATGAACAAACGACATGCACTGTAAGCCTTTTTTTCTGTTGTTTTTTTTTTAAAAATAAAAACTAGTTATTGATGTCATCCTATTTATGACTTACTTGTTTCCATCAGATGCTTTCAGGCAAGATATTACACTTATTTGTTCACAATACAGTTCCGGGAGGAAAACAAAAAGTGAATTTTACAGTGTCTATTAGAAACAGAAAAATTGTTTTTTTTTGACTACTTAAACTTAATGTGTTGTGTTTTCTTTGTCTGACTTTTAGCATTTTCAATTCATTTTGTAATTCATCTTATTGAAAATTAATATAAATGAAATTAAGAAATGCAAAAAAGAAAAACAAAACAAAGTGTTCTATTCACATTTTGTATCTATTCTTTTTTGTTGCAATTATTTTTCAGATGATGTCAACAATTCAGCTTTCAGTACTCTGAAGAATAATACTACTTCAAGGTCAGATACTGGCAGCACATTGCCATCGAATATTCAAACCACAGTTAATCACCTATCATCTGTTAGTGATTCAAAACCACCTAATGATAGTAACCGTTTGTCTATGGTTAATTCTGATAATGTGAATTCAGTACCAGGGGGAACACAGTAAGTTGAAAACTAATTGGATAAGGTTATTGTGACTTTTTATACAGCCTTTATTATTTTGAATAAAAAAAAAACGAGCACGTATTTTCAGGACTATACCTTAATACACAGGATGTTAAGGGTTGTCAGGGTAAGCTACGTGCCACTTAACCAGCTTGTTAATATTCTAGGTGACAGACACATGGACTCATGTAAAAAATGGGCTAAATCCATTTTATCTAACTCACACCACCCTCTTCATCCACAACCCTCCCCTTGTATCTCATCAGGTAAAACCAGAAGTCTGTATATGGAAAACTATACGCTCGCACTAGTAAGTACAAAAACTCAACCATACCCTACTTAGTTCGTGTTCTGTACGATAAAGAAAGCACCAGGTGTGATACCTATAACTTATTAAATAGTCAGTAGAACAACTGGATCTCGTCTTTCCAACTCATATCATTTATGGGTACAACGTTTTCTTTCTTTCTTTTACTTTTCTCTCTCTCTTTTTCTGTTATGTGCTGCTTTGTTTCTTTCTTCCTTACAAACTCTGTTAAGACATTCTTGTTCGTTCTTTCACACTCTGTATATCTCGACCTTTTTGTCACCGATCACGCCAGTAAATATGCTAGCATCTACTTTTCTAACACCTTCAAACACTGTTCAAATTTTGGTTTTGCTACCGACATGCTAACTGAGATTTCCTTAATCTACGTAGAATTTTATTTATTATTAATGTACTAACTGGATGCAATACTGTAGTAAAATGCTGAGAATTCTATTCTGTATCACAAGTACTGTTTTGGAATAAAGCAAATTATTATTATTAACAAAAATGATATTACGAGATCGTTTTATCTTGTAGATTGTCTTCAACTGAGCACATCCTAGACAAAATAAATTATTAGTTTCAAAATTTCTGAACTTACTGTTCACAATGAACTCGAGTCATAGGTAGAAAGTATAGGCAACAAACTTCTAAAGATAATGTCAGCAGACGAATTACTCGATGTTAAAAGAATAACTATTTATAGAATAATTAGGCAAGAGGGGTCGAGTTAAGATTTCGCTCGGAAACAACGATGGACTAGAGACAAACTACTAGATAGAACAACAAAGTGAATTCATACATATTATTGATGGAGAGTTCAGGAAGGCGGGTATGAATACTGAAGCAAACAAAAATTATAACATTCCACTCAATCTTAATTTTGATTTTCACTCTCTGAGTTGAACTCACTATTAAGGTTGCAAATCTACTGATTTAAATTTATATTATCTATTCTAGAATTTTACTTCGTGCGTCGGTAGCACATTGGTACAATGCTCGCTGACCACGCTAGTGGTCCGGGGTTCGATCCCCGACCACTGACTCACTCCTTTACCTCGCTAAGCCAGTAATGAAGTTAGTAAAGAGGGAAGGTTGGAAATGAGGCTGGCAAACCCATCCCGTAGAAAGAAACACCACTGCTACATAAACTTTAACTGTCTAGCTTGAAGCCATATGTTTCAATTGGAACGTAAAGGATTAGTTAACAATTTTACTTCACGATTCACTCTCACCTTGCTGAACCCTCCATCATAATATGCATAAAATCACTTTGTTCTTCCATCTTGGATTTTGGGCTCTAGTCCATCTTTGTTTTCAAGCTTAATTTTAACTCCATCTCTTTGTCTAATTACCTTTATGAATAGTTTCTATTTTAACACTGGATGATTACATTATCTTTGAAATTATGTTGCTTATACTTTCTATCTATAACTTGAAATCATTGTAATCACTATGCTCAAAATTTTGTAGCTTAAAATTGATTTAGTTTAGGATGTTCTCAGTTGAAGAGAATCCACGGAATAAAATGAGTCCGTATTATCCATCCTGCAAATATCTTCGTCTTATCTTTATTCCAAAATAAATTATTTTGGTTTCTGCTATCCAAAAGTTTTGTATAATTTCATATAACTTCAATTGTTCAATGTGGTATACCTGTGAAACAATGTTCTTTTCATCAGTGGTGTTTTCCTTTTCCTATCAGTGAGTCATTTTAACTTTCAGAATTCACCAGTTGAAAGATTCTTTAGAGCCTGTGATAATTTCACTATGACAGTTTAGTTTGTGAAATGCACAGGTGCACTTATTCCATTCACATTAAAGTATGAGACTTTGATCAAATCTGTACTGATGAACGTTGATAAGAATAAAAAAGTCTGGAATATAAATTTTGTATAACTAATATTTACAACAACACATAGAATACTGCTGGATGTGGATTTAGTGAAACTTCCATAATGGCAGATTCGAAAAAGAGGTGGATAACTGAAGCTTCTCTGACAGACCTCTTTTTGTAGAGTTGGGTTATTTTTAACTTGTCTGGTAAGAGAGAAATCCAAACTAGTATCAACTAGCAAACATATTCATAATATTCATGATGAAATCCTGAAACCAATCAAATCCCTACAAACCAACACTTGAATACCAATGAGATGCTCACTGGCGACTGGCCCTATTCAGGTAGGTAGTTACCTGGGTTCCAGTGGGAAGTCGTGACCAGTAGGGTGCAGCTGGTCGGGTGTGAGGACAAATACTCGCCGAAGACATTGGCTAGCGGTCGCGCTATGTCGTGAATTGGCAGAAGTTAGAATTCAAGGACCATTGGATCGGGTCCCAGTGGCTTAATGGTATACAAGCTCGCCTTGTAACCGGAAGGTCCTGGGTTCGAATCCCGGTGGGTGCGTACTGCTGAAGAGTCCCAAACTAGGACGAAACAGCTGTCCAGTACTCCCAGGTTTTCCAATGGTTCCCTAACTAATGTCAGCTCATGATGAAATCCTGAAACCAATCAAATCCCTACAAACCAACACTTGAATATTCATAATAGTTATTCTGATTGGTTTTTCCATATCTATGTTTTAAGTATCGAATGGTATCGATATATTATCGTCTCAACTATTTGCTATTATTATGATGATTATTCTCTGGAAGTTTTAAGTCGTTTCAATCTTTACAAAAGTTGATTGATCGTTCAGTGTGTATAAGATGGGTTGACGTGAAATTGACTGGACAAAAATTAACTTTCTTCTTGCCCGTAATATAAACCTTTATTGTATACTTTCATGAAAAAAAGTAATATTATATTTGCTGATTAGACAAGCATAATTTTCCCTGTTTATAATCATGAATTGTGAAATTTTGACTTTATACAAAAACAAAGGTAGCTGATACTCCATTTTGTATGTATCCAGTGTATAATTAATTAAATGTGGAAAGTTTTATTGTATGGAGGATTTCACTATGAGCTGACATCAGTTAGAGAACCACTGGAAAACCTGGGAGTACTCGACAGCTGTTTCGTCCTAGTTTGGGACTCTTCACAGTACGCACCCACCGGAGTTCGAACCCAGGACCTTCTGATTACAAGGCGAGCTCGTAGACCATTGAGCCACTGGGACCCGATCCAATGGTTCTTGAATTCTAACTTCTGCCAGTTCACGACATAGCGCGACCACTTCGCAATGTCTTCCTCGATGAGTCACTGCCCTATCTTTGACCTGCTGTACCCTACTTATCATGGCCTCCCACTAGAACCCCAGGTTAACTGCCTGAATGGGGCCAGTCACTAGTGAGCATCAGATTGATTTTCAAGTATTGGTTTTGTAGGGATTTTGTTTGATTATACGGAGGATTTCACCATGAGCTGATATCGTGAACTGGCAGAAGTTAGAATTCAAGAACCATTGGATCGGGTCCCAGTGGCTCAATGGTCTACGAGCTCGCCTTGTAATCAGAAGGTCCTGGGTTCGAACTCCGGTGGGTGCGTACTGCTGAAGAGTCTCAAACTAGGACGAAACAGCTGTCGAGTACTCCCAGGTTTTCCAGTGGTTCTCTAACTGATGTCAGCTCATAGTGAAATCCTCCATACAATCAAACAAAATCCCTACAAAACCAATACTTGAAAGTTTTATTGTCTATTTCCCCGTATATACATAATAAAGTGCTCATTTGTTTCCTAAGTAGGCATTCCTGTTCACGTTTAACCGAAAAAATAAACTTGAGGTTTCTTTCAGTCTGGGATGGCTGTCACATCAGCTGAGCAACTCCTAAAAATCGGTCTCTCTTTCATAAGATGTATTTTAAATTATTTAGAAGTTATGAAAGGCCTGACAACAATTCGTCTATCAATAAATTTTTACATTCAGTTTCCAAATGAAAGTAGTCTTACTTTATATAAGTGTAGAACAGGGACATTGTGGTAGAATGTAGTTCCTTATTAGATAAGGTTATTTTAAATACCGCACAGTGATGCATTAGTCATACTACCTTGACAGCCTATTAAAAACGTCAGATCGTAAAAAAAAGTCATTTTTCCCACGAACCGATAAGCTCCAGAGAGTAAGTACTGGGTAAGTTGCTGAGCTTTACTCTGCAACTCTTCAGCAGTGTGAATCTACAACAGACAAAACAGAACTCGAGGTGTTTCTGCATCTGATATTTTATTCTACAAGCTATAAACGCATAGGCTGTTATTAAAAGAAAATTGTGGACAATTGTCCAATTATTCTTAATTTTCGTATATTTCGCCTTCTTTCTATTTTGTCTAACACGCTAATAACGGAGTAAAACACCATCTCTCTCTTTATCTCATCAGAAATGTCAATGATCTCAAGATAGAGAGTGGGAGAGGGAGAGAAATTATCCAACATGTCAATAACCATTTATATGCATTCTGTGGTATAACCATCTGTAGGCTATGTGTATGTATGTTGTTACCTTATTGTAAAAAAGGCCTTTTCTAGTTAGTCCATTACCAGAATCTAATATTAAAACTTTGAATGTAATTTTAATTTTCTTCACAGCGTTTATTATTAATTTCTTTTCTTCATTGACTGTTTGTTATCTATTCTTCTTCTTCTTCATCATCCCTGCAATGATTTCTGTTTTTCTTTGCTATCGTGCGAGGTTTCTATCTTCCTACTTCTTCTCTCCTTGTCTTTGTGTTGTTATTTTTCTTCCTGTGGTT